GCATAACGATAGCAACAGACGGCAGTAGGTTCATGAGGCACAGGCGAGAGTGACTCGTATTCGGGCCTCGGGCTTGACCCGCCCCAGCCTAGACGTATCGCCATTTGGAGACGAGGACTGGAGCATTGTTTCAATCTTTTTTGGGGAAGTTCGCGTAACTCTCGTCTATAAAAAGGGGGAAACCCCATTTTTACCATTTTACTTACAGTAAAACAATGAAGAGAGTATTAGAGCGAGAGAACTCTCACCAAGAGCTTCCGACGAGAATCATAGTGTGCAGAGACTTCACCGGCAACACTTCATTGAGTTTGAAGGTATTCGCAGAGTACTTGCGAATATTTTCTGAAAGTTCCACAGCTTCTGGAGAGGGTAACAGTGGCTTTGAGGGGATCCACCGAGATGTTTTCGGTGAAGAACGGTAGCCATTGAAGCTATCGTGAGAGAAATAGTGCTACCATCAGGTTGTGACATCATTTCTGGTGTGCACAGGGACTTCTGACAGTCTTCTGATCACCAGTAGGGATGGAGAAGGCACCAGGGATACCAAGGACTACTAGCACTTGCACAGGGCTTTCCGGTGACCTTCCGACATCTATGTGATTGCTGTCACGCAGAACGGAGATCGAACAATGGTTTTGCCAGAAGCTCAGTGGTTTTTTGTCGACTAGAGGAGTGAGAAGAAGGGAGAGGGAAACCCATAGGGTCACAAGGGAGCTTCCACAGAGATACCGGAGATTTTTTGGTTTTCTCTGCTGTCGGTAAGGGGAAAGAACAGGGTCAAACGGGGGTTCCCGATTGACTGAGGAGAGTTTCCAGCAAAATTTGAAGTGTTTTGAAGGAAGAAAAGGGTCGTGAGAAGGTTGAAAATCATTGAAGGGTGATGGCTGGGGAAACTAAAGAGGCACGAGGGTTAATGCCCCCTGGGAATAGGGGACGATGGGAACAGGGCATGACAATGGCATGTGCGACATTATGTCATATGTAGCACTGCCTTCGCATGGCGCCACTCACGGCAATAGTTGCTCGCAGCGTTGGACTGCCTGTTGAAATGGTAGCATGTGGCATTGAGTTGTGCAAGGCAATGGTCGCGTGCGGCGTTAGGCTGCATGCGGGGATGGCCTTGGAAGATGGTGCCTTATGGGGGTTAAGAGTGATAGAAAATGAGAAGGCCCGGCCACTATGGTCTATTGGAAGCCAAGTTCTCCCGCACTACTATCACGACCCCACTCCTTGACCCCTACCGGAGGGCGACAGAGCGTGGGATCGCGACCGAAGGTCACGAATGTCACTCTGGTGGAGTGGCTCAAAGCATGAAACATGAAATCGAGAGCAAACCATGAAAGAAAACTAAAATAAATCCATACATCCAATAATTATCAATCCAAAAAGTACAACCAATTCATTTCTTCCCAAATCAAAGTCTTTACAAGATTGTTAAGGCACTATTGGCCTAAAAGACACACAAAAAGAGGAATATATCATATCATTGAAATCACCAAAACATATTGCAGAAGTCTTCAGAAGACGGCTTCTCAAACTTTTTTATTTCAGGCTTCAGGCCCTTCAAAAATTGCCACCCATTGTAAGCACAACTACCACCACCCTTCCCTCTACAATTATGAAATTAAGATGGAATGATCTAAAATCCCGGGAAGAAGATCACTACCCTTGCATTCCTGACTATAATATATATACGTTAACATACTCACAGTTCATCAGAAATCGTATTTTGTCTTACAGAGTAAGGTCACATATCAGAGTGCACATGATGGCCATATAAAAGAATCAAAATCAGTTAACGGAGCATTACTTGCATATCACAGTTACAGTCAAATAATCTTACAGAATATAGAATTCAGACAAGAAGAACAAAGTAGTTTAATCCCGAAGTAGAAGCCACAGTGATAGGGCTAAGCCAATCCTGAGCTTGGGACTTCTACCCTCATTCAGGAGGGAGGACAATGACAAGTAGATGCCCTACTTCGTAGTGTTCTCACTCACTCACACATCCCCAGCGCGCTTTAGGGTTTCTGATAGGCTGAGGCCTTGCAAGACACTGCCCTCTTGCTCTCTCACCACTAGAGTATGTTACACTACCAAAGGGGTCCCGATGGATAGTGCCTAGAAATCTTGGGGGGTGCAACCCTCCCAAATACAGTCCGAGCCTAGCTCCCTTCCTAACATCGGGAGTTAGGGAAGGATCATGTGGCAAGTCCATGCTCACACTTACAGAGTTCGACAGAGTATCACATATATATCATTGTGCGGCAAGTCCATGCTCACACATACAAAATAAGAGGGCTCACTACCGATGGAGGATCCATTATGTAGTGGTTAGATATCAGAAATCATATAACAAAATCAAACAGTATCAGTGTAACATAAATCAAAATATTCATATAACAGAATCATACAGTGCACTACCAATGGGGAACCGATTGCGTAGTGTTCATTTAACAGAATCTGACACTATCAGTATCACAAAATGGCAAGGTTAATATCAAAGAATAAAAATTTCAGTAGCACAGAGCACTAGTATCAGTATCACGGAGTGACAATGTTAGTATCACGGAGTAACAGTATCAATGTCACATGATAGCATTTCCTGTAATTTTAGGCAGTGATATCCTATCAAAACAGGGCCATAAATTTTGATTCGTTTGGAATTTAAAGATAGTTCCAGAAAGAAATTTCTGTTAGACATAGCTATCTTTCAATTAGGGGTGTTTTATTGCAGTTGGGCCTTATTTGATCCCTCAAAAGAACCCAAGAATATAGACACTTAGTCTGAAATCTGTTGTGCGGTGAAAACAATGACATATCTTTGAAATTCCACCCATGTTTCAAAATCAAGAGGGAACCTCAAAAAGCGCTCAACATGTGAATTAAATATGACTCATAACCGATTCCAATGGCTGGTGTTTGGTCTAAAATAGACACCTTTTAGTTAGTCAAATTTAGTGACATCAGAGGCATTAAGTCTGTGCTTTTGCTAAAACTGTCCATAGCGACATACCTTCATAAAATGAAGCGTAATTTTCAATCTAAAGACAATTCTGAAATATGTTTTGCATGTAACTTTTAACCCATTCAAATATATTTCAAATGGATGTGATTTGGCAAAAAATGGACGTCATTTGGTTAGTTAAAATCGATGAACACGAAGGTTACTGATGACAAATCCAGGAAAACAGCCTGCAGTGACATACCCTCTCATTTCGAAATGTTACTTCATTTTTGTAAATAGTAACAACAGTGAGTAAAAACAAACATTTTACTAGGATCGTGTATCTTTCCAATGGTGGTATTTTGAGGTCAATCGGGCTCCATTTGACAGTTCAAAAGCCTCATTCAAGAGCACATAATCCTGGAATTTCACGGTTTCATTTAACACATTTCAAGAATGCATTCCATAACCACCATTTCATAATGAAGAACAAGATAACCTCCATTCTCTCACAATGCGAACACACATAACATGAATTTCTTACATAATCCAAGAATCACAACTCCATTCTTGCATTCATGATTATTATGGAACAAAAACCCCAAGTTTCCATTGAAAAAGGCGTAAGGTTCTTTTTTTCCACATTGTATACACTTATATTGCTCATTCATATGCTTAAGTTTCCATGCATTCCCATGGCTACAATACAAGGGTAATGGATCCACTTAGCTAATTAACAATGGGGCCTCCGCAAACCTTCGCTCACAGCTCTCACTCGCCCAGCAGTGGCTGCTCACAAAGTCACTCTTCCACTTGTATCTTAGAGAGAGAAAGAGGGGTAGGAATGAGGGACATGGGTGAGAGAAGAGGCTTAAGTACTCTCATGTCTGGGGTGGCTGGCCAAGTGTCACCAAGGGGCCTAAAAATCTAGAATAGTGGCTCTCACATCAGCATGCATTAAACTAGTGTCACCTCCAACTCATGCATGTTAGAGACACAGCTGGCGCTGGCCCACTACACAGCCGATGCTATTCATATCCAGCCGGCGCTGAGCAACCGGCAATGAGTTCTTCCTCTTCATAGTCGACGCTGCTCTTCCCAACCGGCGCTGCGCTCGTCCTCTTCACAGTCGGCGCTGCACTTCCCAACCGACGCTTAGCAATGGATGCTGGCCTCCTTCTGGCGTTGGACAACTCAACCGGTGCTGGCCTCCTTCTGGGGCTGGACAACTCAACCGGCGCTGGCCTCCTTCTGATGCTGGACAACTCAACCGACACTGCCACAACTTCTTCCCTCCTTAGCCTGCCATGCATTCCAACTAGCCGGGAAAATTTTGGGTTGTCACAACAACAGTGAAGTACATGTTGTTTTGAAGAAAGGCGCTCATCATAGTTCCTTGCCAGGGAAGTAGACTCTATCAGGTTACTTCTTTCCTCTCCATCCATGCCTCATCAGTTGAATTGAAGCTGACTCAAAAATGGTTGGTCCTCCTCTGAAGCGAGAGCAATACTTTAACACAAACAACTTCTTTTCTTATGAATTGTTGTTACTATATCTGTAACCTCCCTGATAATGGGCTTTTGTAATAAAAGAAATGAATTTCTTTTGAGTTGGGTTGCTATTTTTCTTTTCCATTTCTTTCTTTTTACTGCATGCACTATATTCTAAGAGCACATCTGGGATAATACTTCTCTATGTATCGCCCGTTGATAGGGGCCATTGCTTCCTACCCATTAGAGTTTGCCAGTATATAAGCCCCATTTGGTGTGACCTTTTTGATTATGAAGGGACCTTCCTACTTGGGTTCAAATTTCCCTAATGGTGTCCATGCATGACAATCGGCCTCTTGACTGCTAGGACTAGGTCCCCACGAGTGAATGAGCGAACCTTGATAGACTTGTCAAAGGCTCTCTTTATTCTCCCCTAATTGAGCTCAATATTTTACTAGGCCTCTAGCCTCTTTTTTTTCAAGAGCGTCCAACTCCTAATAACGGAGCTTGACTCTCTCATCTTTAGTCAGTCCCTAATGTATAGCAACACGGAGTGAGGGTAGTTAAACCTCGAGGGGTAAAATTGCCTCACTTTCATAGACTAGGGAATAAGGAGTAGAGTCTATTGCATTCCAAGTGATAGCGCGGTAGGCCCACAAAGCTTCTGGTAGCATCTCATGCCAGTTCTTCTTTGACTTTGAAACTGACTTCCGGAGTACCCCGCACAGGGTTTTATTGAACATCTCAGCTAAACCATTGGTTCGAAGGTGGTACATGATCGAGTACTTCCACTCAAAACCGAACTGGCTAACTAGGCGATCGTGATAGCTTCTGAACTGAGGGCCATTATCAGAGATTATTTGATCCGGAACCCCGAATCGGTATATGATGTGGTGACACACAAAGTTGGCTGCAGTGGTCCCCAGAACTTGCTTGAGAGGGACCACTTCAGCCCACTTAGAAAAGTAATCTGTTGCTGCTAGGATGAAGGCATGACTCAAGGCATAAGCAGGGTTGATGGGTTCTACAATGTCCATATCCCACTGGAAAAAAGGCCATGATGCACCTCTAGAATGGAGAGGCTTTGGGGGCTGATGAATGAGGTTTGAGTGCATTTGGCACACTTGACATCTTTTAGCATTGTTTTGGGCATCAGCCACTATTGAAGGCCAATAATACCCGAGTCTACATATGTGCTCATAGAGCTTAGCGTCAGATGTCACAAGGGAACTCGGGGCAGAGGTCTAATGACAGATAAAAGTCTACAGCCTCCAAGGCAGCAGCCCAGATTGCCTTCTATCCTTAGACCTCACTCTCTGCTCTAACTGATGGACACAACCCTAGCATGCTCAAGAAAGACAGGGCAGTCCAAATCTCAGGCTCTATTGTGAAGCGAAGTCTATTGTAGCCTCAAGATTAAGCAAAAGAGAGGCTTGCAGCTCTTAACTAAAGAGGCCACTTAAGGCAGTTGAGGTTACCACTCTCGATGACCTCCTGCCTTACAGTCCCTTCTTCCCTCTTCAAATTCCAGAGCTTGAGCAAGAAGTCCAAGAACATTGCTTAGTGGTTACCGTCACAAGAAAAGACAGGGCTGCCAAGAACTCGCGGTCCCAAGACCATCAAGAACCGGTCCTCACACGGGCTGCATACAAGACTTGAGTCCAGTCAGGGCATGTTGAGCCCCTACGAACCGACTTGCTGCGTATTACTTGCCAACCCTGGATGTTCACTACTCTGCCTGGCTCCAACCCTCCTGAAGAAATGGTCAGGGTCATGGTGATCGGCGGGCCGACTGACACCCAAGAAGAGCCGATGAACAGGTTCGAGGTGATGCAGTCCATTCATGAAAAGATGGATCATTTGGAAGCCTCTTGACCCCCTTCTTATCACCATGAGGCTGACTCCCCACCTGTTGAGGACACAGCTCCCAAGCAGACTTCCCCATCAGCTTCCCAAGATAGCTCCATTCCCCACACGGTTTCACAAATTGATATAGATGCCATGGTAACCCACAGTCTCAAGAGTAAGGTCTTGAGAACTCAAGGGGTGCTGCTTTACCAAAAGTCGTACGCCTCGTACATCGACAAGGAGTCGTTTCCCCCAAACTATCAAAAAGGGAAGCTCCCCCTATTCAATGGTACTACATCACCACACCAGCATATCGCCCACCTCCAAGCATCTTATCAAGAGATGGCAACTGACGAGCGACGCCTCCTCCGTCAGTTCGTTGAGACTCTCGAAGGGCCAACCTTCCAATGGTATGCTCGGCTACCTCCAAACTCGGTACACACATGGTGGAAAATGGAGAAATTGTTTTACCAGCGCTTCTATGAAGTCCAGAGAAGTGTGGAAACCATCGATCTCCTCACTCTGACTCAAGAGCTTGATGAGCCAGTGGATAAGTTCATCGCCTGATGGAGAGAGTTAGCAACCACTCATGCCACCTCCATGACTGAAAAAGTAGTTCAGACCTACATACGAAATATACTACCCGAGATCTCCCTGCATGTTGAGGCCTCCTATCCAACCACCATGTCAGAGCTCATCTCTACAGCGGTTCGTATAGAAGGTCTATCTGAGCATCATGGTGGATCTCATCAATAGCCCTCCAGTTCAAGAAACAGCCGGGGCGATGGCAATTCTCGCTCCAACAACCGGGGCAACCAACAAAAATGGGTGATTAGTGCGGCTATTACCGTGACTGACACTAAGAAAGCCACCCCTCAAACCTCGGACCTCTCTAAGGCTCGGACGACACAACGGTCTTATAACAAGTTCTCGCCTCAAAAAATATAAATCGAAGTGACTACTGGCTCCAGCACCAGAATAAAGCGTACCCCTTCGAGAAGGAGTGGGTTCCCGCGCTACTTTGGTTACTACTGGAGCAGAACATGCTCCAGCTGCCAGAGGTCAAAGCCCTAGAGCAGGCTGGACAGGAGACACACGAGAGATATTGCGCCTATCACAAGAGAGTAGGCCACCCCACTCAAGAGTGTTATATGCTCAAAGAAATTATCGAAACCCTTGTTAACAAGGGTCAGATAAAGCTCGAAGAGCTAAAGAAAATATTCGGGGCAACTGAGGCCTCCCATGTGGTAACGATCCAAGAGGACGACGAGGCATGTACCATCCTCCATACAATATTCTCTGTAATGCTCAAAGAAGGTCTCATCACGATGAAGCCGACAAGGCAACCCAAGTTCATGCCTCTAAAAACTAATAACCTCTGGTGTCTGTATCATCTGATACAAAGCCATGACCTGAGCGAATGCACTAGCTTCCACGAGCCCTAGACAAAGAAGATGCTGCAGCACCAAGATGTTCATGGTAACTCAGAAGGACACACTCAAGTCTCTGATCCACCAATGCAAGAAGACCTCCTGACACAAGCCCAGGGAAGTGCTGAGTTAGACCCTCTTCGAGGAGATGTTCCAACAGGGTCTTGTCACCCCCAAGCCATCATGACAACCTACGCGCGTTGTCTAGGGTATGAAAAATCTCTGGTGCCCATATCATCAGATTTGGAGCCATGAGCAGAAGTAATGCTTTGGGTTCGAACCAGTAGTTGTAGAAAAAGTACAGAAAGGCCACATTGTTTGCACCATTCTCCCGGAACGCTTCCAAGCCATCACTCCCGTCTAAGAGGAAATCCCACTATAGGTTCCCTACGAGGACACCCTAGACCCTTTAAAGCCCTTGACTTCTTGCCCTTGGGAAGTCTATCATGGGAGAAGCAGGCTCAAATCTTTAAAGTGTGAAGCTAGGGCTACTCATCAGCTTGATAGGACTGAAAAAATCCCTCCCTAGAGATCCAGAAAGAGACGAGCACTTAGGTCAGCTCACCGAAGGATACATATTCCTCAGCCACCAGTCGAGGAAACATTTCTCAAGCCCCTTCCTCCATAGTCGACCTTAGAGGACTTCATCCCAGGCACAACACTCCTTATCCCTTTGTCCAATCAGGAGGACGTCCCTGTGTCATCAACTGCTCGAGGCTCGTCCAATACCGGTGATGACGCTAAAAGCATCGCCCAACAGTTAGAGCTAGGGCAAAACCTAAAACACCCCCTGAACACGTCCAACTCTGGTGACGACATAAAAAGCTACTCAGAACACTCTAACTCTAGTTCTTCTTCATCACCTCTTCTATCTCTTTCACAAGTGTAGCTTAGTAGTGCCTAGACTTCGATGCTCTAAACAGCGAGCTTAAAGGCACCAACATTAGCAAGTCATAGCGGAAGTGCCTAAGAAAGACGTTGGCCCAGGCGACAGGATTCTTGACAGTCGCCGGTGCCATTGCTACCCAAGCCAAATCTTAGCCATCTTCGAGCTCCTATTACCACGAGGCCTGCCACATAGTTCAAATTCACAAGGGCCACCCAACTCGGGGCAAGTACCGAGTGAACTTAGTCACGATGCCATGGACTCCATGTTCAAAGTTGACCCTTTCATTGCCTGGTTTGCTTAGGGACTGGAGATCGTCTCCCACACTTAGACCCTCCTAGAAGCTGAAATGTCGAGATCATGGGTCTCTGCACTCGAAATTGATAAGAAGCATCCTAAATCCCCTAACGAAGAGCTGTAAGAAGCTTCGGAAGAGTGGGAAGAAGGTGGTCAATCCACAGCTGACGATTGAATAGATAAACTTAGGAGATGAGGCCCACCCAAGGCCAACTTTCATCTTAGCAAAAATGTCCCCAGAGGAGAAAGAGGTTCATATTTCCCTCCTCTGAGAAAACAAGGACGTCTTCATCTGACATAATCATGAAATGTCTGGTCTAGACCCTCAAATTGTTGTCCACCATCTCGGCATTGATCCAACCGTCAAACCCATAAAACAGAAATCCAGAAGGTTTAGACCTGACCTCGAGATGCAGATAGATGCTAAGGTGAACAAGCTCCGGCAAGACGTATTCATACGTGAAGTCAAATACCCAAGATGGCTGGCAAATGTTGTCCCAATCAAGAAGAAAAATGGCCAAATGCTTGTTGATTCCACGACTCATTGCCAAATCTTCTCCTTCATGGATGGGTATTCTGATTATAATCAGATCAGGATGGCATCAGAGGATGAAGAGGCCACTACATTCTTGACCCCAAAAGTTGTCTTTTGCTACACTGTGATGCCCTTCGGGTTAAAGAACGCCGGTGCCACATACTAGCAAGCCGTGACGACCATCTTCAAGGATATGATGCACAAGGAGATCGAATGCTCTGTGGATGACTTGGTGGTGAAGTCTGAAACAATGGACACACACATGAACGACCTCAAAAAGGTATTTGAGTGGCTGCAGCGCCACCAACTCAAGATGAACCCCTTGAAATGCGACTTTGGCGTACACTCAGGAAAATTCTTAGGTGCATCGTGAGGTATTGTGGGCTGAAGATTGAGCCAGTCAAAATCAAGGTAATCTAAGACATGACTCCGCCTACAGCCTTGCATGAGCTTCAATCTCTCCAAGGGCAGCTGGCCTATATTCGAAGATTCATCTTGAACCTCTCAGGACGATGCAGGCCCTTTTCACACCTACTGAAGAAAGACAGTCCCTTCATATGAGATGAGGCATGCCAAACTGCACTTGATGATATCAAGCAGTATTTGTTGAATCCTTTGGTACTCTCCACAGTAATATTAAGAAGGCCTCTTGTCCTATACGTGAATTCTCTTGATGAGTCACTTGAGGCACTTCTAACACAAAACAATGACGAGGGGAAAGAAACAGCGCTCTATTATCTCAGCCGCAGGAGGCAGGGTGCTGAGAAGAATTACCCTCCCATCGAGAAGATGTGCCTAGCCTTGATCTTTACAGTACAAAAGCTCTGTCATTACTTTCTCGATCACGAAGTCAAGTTAATCTCAAAGGAGGACCCAGTCAAGTTCCTTATGACCCGGTCATGCCGGTCGGGATGTTTGGCCAAGTGGGCATGATTGCTGATGGAGTTTGACATCACGTATGTACCATAAAAGGTCTTCAAAGGTCAAGTCTTAGCGAACTTTCTCGTGGCTCACCCAGTTCCCTTAGAATCTCCCCTGTCA